TGAATTGCGTTCAAAGACAACATCACTTGGATAGGCGAAGAAAAGATGCGCCGCCCACGTCTGTCGATTACGTGCCTGCCAGAGTGTATGAATATAGTGCACATCGTCAAATTGGTTTCCGCGCCTTTTATTTACTTTAAGAAATTTTTCTTTTACGTTTCCTATTGCATTTAAATTCGTCTTCCTCAGAAGATTACGAAATTCAAGTCCTTGACGGTGCACATCTTAACTTTAAGCGTCACAAACATTTAATAAATCTTAATACATCCCCTGTGGTGAGCATACAGATTTACTTCTTAAATAATATCCACTTGACTAGTATTAGTGCGGGATTTATCTTCAATAAGAGCGTGATAGATTTCTTTAAAAAGATAAAAAAACAAGTAAGTGACCGTATCCTTTATACCCATCACACCTGAATCCTGAAAAGACTAAAAGAACGGAAAAGAACTACATTTTCCTACTGTAAAGTATAGGGTGGACATGGGTGAAAAAATACATGCACCAATACTTTCGACACAATTCTTTAGAAGCTCTGCTAACGGAACACAGGGCAGTATAATATATACATACGCAAAAAAAAAAAAAAAAAAAAAAAAAACACAAATTTTGCGGTCGCGAGAGAGGTCTAATCATTAAAAATAAATCCAGAGTGATTTGAGACGAATTGTGCGCATAAACTAGATCACGCCGCTCGGCATATGTATATCAGGAAATGTACATGCATTTAGCAGCATTAATAGTAGCAGTAATAGTAGTAGAAGTAGTAGTAGTAGTAGTAGTAGTAGTAGTAGTAGTAGTAGTAGTAGCAGTAGCAGTAGTAGTAGTAGCAGTAGTTGTTGGTAGTTAGTTGTAGTGCTAGCATGAACCGTATAAGCGCCTTAGTTTTCTTCCAGTGAGAGCAATTTTCACTTCACCTTAACATTTAGGAAGAACTAAATTCATGGTGCGCATGTATGACGTTACACATTAGTGTGTGTGTGTGTATTTTATTAATACATAAGTTTCCGGTACATTGCATGTCATGACAGTTTGCTGGTTCTTTGATGCTTTCATGCTTTTAATGATGAGAGACATTGATTTTCTGTGTATGCTAGTGTTAGTTAATTAAAAAGTTGCCAACATTATCATATCGACCACGCAAAATTGCGTTTGTCAACATAATATACGTTACAGTGTAATAGAAAGAACAGTGGTAATGACGAGAATGCACTGTGCAGTGATAACGGTGATGATGATATAATGAAGAGAGAGAGAGAGAGAGAGAGAGCGAGAGATATGGAGACAAATCGAGGGAAAGCTAACTTGCGAGACCTTGAATACATGTCTGGAGCATTATCTTGAATTTAATAACAATGTTGACTGGAAAAATGTGCAGAAGCAGTTAGTTAAGGCTTAAAAGATGCTTAAAAGATTTGGCACGTTTTCTAAAAGCTTTGTTAGAACAATTTTTTTTTTTTTTTTGCTCATGAAGCAACATTGTAAACAATGTCGATCTGCCGGTTGTCTAGGCGGGATTTTATATAGAATATGATGTGCGTGCGTGCACGCGCATATGTGTGTACGTGTGTGTGTGTGCTTATTTGTTCGTTTGGTTGTTTCTGTGCATGCTGAAGCAGCCTAAAAACGCCAGACACTACTAATGGAATTATGTTTTATTTTATTCTACACATGTATGCGTGTTTGTATGTGTGCATATATATATATATATATATATATATATTATTATTTATTTATTTATTTTCTTATTTTGGAATTGCAAGGCAGACAAACTGGTGCTTGTTGGTAACTTCTTGAGGCATACAATGCGACACGAGAAAAAGCGTAAAAGAAAGGTTTTAAATGCTTGGCTGTGTGCGCTCGGGTGTATAGTTGGACAGTAATGATTGATAAAACATGACTCGACAAGAACATGCAAGTAGCACACACACACACACACACACACACACACACAATACAAATTGTAATAAATAGAAAACATTATACACATAGAGAAACACTAAAGAAACAACGTACGTAATAATGCAGCAGTCAAGATGAATGACATTTTAACGTTAAGGTGACTGTGTGACTATTACTATGTACTCTACTACTGTATTATTCACATTTGTATATATATATATATGCGCCTATGTAAGTTGGTATCTCTTTTCAATGTATACATTAATGCATATAAGTTGTTCTTCAATTCTAATTGGACACAAGGTCTAGTTGTGTTGCTCGGTTGTGTTGCTGATTGCAGCTTAATGACGTTTGTGTTTACAGCTACAGCATTAACACCAGCCAACTTCACATTAAGTAAAGTTACGTAACTTGGTAAATATAACATAAACAGTAAGTAGGTGTAGAATTAATTTTTACTATTTTCGTCTTAAAGATGCTTCAAGTACGAAGCCTTAACAGACAACAATTTTATGAAAAAAACAAAAAAAAAAACAAAAACGGAATATTTCGAGATCGATTGTTAAATGAATCAATGGTATGTGTGAGTCAAGTGTTAAAATAATTTAAGTATAATTAAAATCTTGAGTACACTCTAAGCAGATTGCCGTGAACTTTTCGTTTCATAATTAAAAAGAAAAAAAAAAAAAAAAAGGTTTTATTCTAAATTTTGTTTGTTTTCGATATCGTTTTATGTTTTAACATGTGTGGGTGACGCTTTTATATTCCTTCTCAATCAAGTGTCCACATCCACCCACACAAACGTTCCGATTTTTTTATTATTTAATTTTAGCATGTTTTACCATTAAAAGAAAAAATTGCGCTCATGAACGCGCTCATATGCAGGTAAGAGACATCGACATACATCGATTTCTGTCGGACCATACATGGACCGACTTAAATAGTAGATAAACGCGATAGAAAAACGCGCATACAAACGCACACACGCACACACACACACATACACACACACGCACACGGACTCACCCAGAAGCAAAATTGAATTTAATTCGATTTTCTCTTTGGACCAACCATTATATAAAGCTTTATTTTTGAAATATGCATGATTGTGCATGGCACGTTGTGTTTGGCTGTTCAACGGTTGATTAACATGAAATCTTTACCATAAATGGTAAGATTTCGCGATATTTGATTGAGTTTACATCTGTTTGTTTTTCTTGTTTTGGTTCACTTTAATAATTACATTGGCAGGACTATGTACGCTTTAGAGCCTGATTTTTTTTTTTTTTTTTTTTTTTTTTTTCTTGAATCTGCCCACAAGCATTATGCAATACTGATCACAAAAGGGTATCAAAAGAGGCAACGTTGTTTTCCCAATGTCAAGCGATAAACCAACACTAATGTCACTTTTAGTGTTAAATGCGTTTCAAATTTATTTTTTTTTTTTATTTTTTTATTTAATGTCGTAGGTATTGGTAGATAATCGCAACAACAAGAAATTACACCCAAGTGACGTAGCTTTATTTGCGAAGAGTAAGGGGTATAATATTAAGCAGAGCATTGGATCGATACAAGTGAACTTGACTTGGACTTGACACGAACTTAGACTTATTAAGAAGCGTGCAAGAAATTTGTATTCGCTTCGATGGCGAACCACCATGACAATTAATAGATTACATGCAGTGACTTTTTAGATTGGCTCTGGATAATAATTATACCAAATGTTACTTCACAAAGTCTCTTATAGGTGATCTTTTGAAAACTCCTATCTATTTTTGGCATTTTTGCAAGCAATTTTCGCAATTGCAGATCGATGAATTACTCTCTGGGATATCGTGGGAAGAAAGCAATTTGAGCATGAAGTAATTGTAGAAGATAAAATAGTGGCAGGAGTTCCCAAAAATACGCTTTCTCCAAGACCTTCGCGCTGTTTGGTTTGAGACTTTGGCCAATAATTCTTGATATTTTGCGTTATTAGATAAACAATAAAAAGAAAAATGCACTTTTTCAACTTCAAAATGTGCGAATCAAACCAATCCCTTCGCCACACGCATACACAGACGCGCGAGCGCACAACTTGCAGGGACCTATATATTATATCTTTGCTATTACGATTAGAATTATCTTAGAATTACCAGTGTTCGGCCACCGTGGGCGGGCTCAGGGAAAGATTTTTCTGATTTTTCTGAACTCAACCCGATAAGAGTTCAAAACCAATCGATCTTTCAAAACAAAGTTTCAGTAAATCACTTAATCTATATGCTTACAGCTCTTTGTGTGTGATCGGCGGCGAGTGTATGAATGAAAAAATTGGCTTTTCGATTAAATGGAGGCAATTTTTTGTTGATAAATAACGCTTACAGGAACTTATCGAAAATACCCCAAGTGATTCGCTAGAGAATATTCTTTTCAAGATATTGTCGAAAATTCGAATAAAAATAGCGAAAGTGGTTGAAGTTGTTGAAAAAACACCTGTCGAGGAAATGACGTTTAATGGTCCTCCAGGTACCTCCGCATGCCTATATAACTATTTCTAACCATTTAAAACTTTGCTGTCGCAACAATCATTTTTTAAAAGTCACGCAGATCCGTCAAAAAAAAAAAAAAAAAAATCTTCTGAAAAATCTAGAACGATGTTCTCTGTTAAGCTCCCTTCCGCCCTTCCTGCGAACAGATGTTCGAGCCTCAACAATTGACGCAAAAATTTGGGACTAAACATACTCTAAGTGAAGTTTGAGAGTTTGATCAATTGGAGATGAAAGTCCAATTGGCCATTAGCAGCGATTACGCTCTAATTAATCTCTCGTTCGTTTTCGAAGTCCTTGACAATTGAAGTTTGATGATGATAATGATGATGATGATGATGTATAGTACACGGGCAATACCGTTAAAAAACCCAAATTATTTTAAGCATTTTTGAGTGAGTAACGAAATATCGACTAAGAATTTATAAAATTGTTCATATTTCTTCGTCGCGTTAACGAAAGCGCTCCTTAAAATGCCTTAAGCAAAGATTAGTCACTAGAATTCGATTCCTTTTTCGTTTACGACTTTTTGAATTTCTTAATAATTTTTTGTTGTATTTTCTCCCGCCGTAGGGGCAAATTCGCAGCTGTTCGTCGTGCTGTACACAAGCATTCGGGAGTGCATTTTGCCGCGAAATTCTTGAAGCGACGACGACGTGCTCAGTCATCTGATAAGGAGATCAAACATGAAATCGCAGTTTTAATGCTTTGCAACGAAGCCGATAACATTGTGAAATTGAATGCTGTACACGAATCACGTTCGGATACTGCGCTATTATTAGAACTGTAAGTAAATTCCACAAAAATATGAAAAGGTTTGGCGTGATAAGCGAACAAAACTATTTCTTCGCATTTATAGAGCGACTGGCGGTGAATTGCAAACTCTGTTAGATAATGAAGAATGTCTCAGTGAAGCTCAGGCACGCATATGTATGCGTGAGGTACTTAAGGCACTACAATTTTTGCACAAACGCTCTATAGCTCACTTAGATTTAAAACCACAAAATATATTGCTAACGGGTGAACGCATCGAAGGTAAATTGCGGTATCGTAAGATTCTTGGAATTAATTTAAATGTAAACTTTTTTTTTTTTTTTTTCTTTCCGTTGCGTTTTATAGACGGCCTTAAATTATGCGATTTTGGTATTTCACGTGTAATTGCCGAAGGCACCAATGTGCGTGAAATTGTCGGTACTCCCGATTATGTGGCACCCGAAGTGTTACAATATGAGCCGCTGTCGCTGTTAACAGACATCTGGTCAGTGGGCGTATTGGCCTATGTATTGCTGTCGGGTTTTTCACCTTTCGGTGGTGAAACCAAACAGGAAACCTTCCTTAACATTTCCCAATGTGCTTTAACATTTCCGGATAAATTGTTTGGAGGCGTCTCATCGGCAGCAATTGATTTCATACGTAAAGCATTGCGAATAAAGCCAAAGTACGTTCGTTTTCTATTTTCATTTACATTTTCTTTTTCATTTCTTTTTGTATTGAAATCAATCATTTTGTTTTGTTGTTGGCGCATATATATAAATATATGAATAAATCTATTTAATTTGCCGTTTGTTAAAAATTTTTTTTTTTTTTCAATTAGTGATCGCATGACCGCTGCAGGATGTCTCGAACACATTTGGCTTAAAGACGAATGTTCCATCGATAGACACATTTTCAATAACATGGCCAAGCAGTTGAAAGCCGAAACCGATGAACAAACTGAAGATGAAGAGGATGAAGATCGTGATGACGAAGTGACTGAAGATGTTGTGGAGAATGGTACGCAACGACTTCAAGCTATTAGCGTTGACAATTCGGAAGAGGATGATGACATTTCCTCCTCAGACAATAATAATGCAAGTCGTCAAAATGTTCATCACATCAATGGTTATTCACATACAAAACCAATGGTAGAAAATTTGGACAAACCTGCCATGCTAACAACAAATGTCACTAATACAAGGTCAATTAACACAACTGCACATAATGTACCGGCTTCGCGGGCAACTACCATACCTTTATACAGCGTGCAACCAGAAAATCAACAAAATACGGCGACTCGCTTGCAACAGCAGATTCTGCATATACCAGCCAGACGTCATTCGTCGGATTCGAATAAGGAAAACACATATTTAGCAACAAAGAAAATCGGTACTGTTTCGACTCAAACAAAAAAACCTTCCCCAGTGGCTGCCACAATTGTGATAGCTGGTCCATCTACAGCCAATAACACTGTCGCCAGTTCAAACATTGTACTTTCGAGCACTAGTGATAGTGATGAGACCAGGCAAACGTCCAATAGCCATAATACTGCCGATATCGCACCACAAACCCTCTTCCCCGATGCACCTACTACACCTAAAGTTATACGCAAAGCTCCCAATAATGATAATTCGCCCACCTCGGTTAAAGCTTTAGTTAAAAAATTTCAATTAGAGGGCGGTGATCAGCCATTAGCACCACCAGAATTTGCTACCACTGGTGGTAAGACGAGCAATGCATCCGCAGTTACATTGAAACCATCAAATGAAAAGAATAAAGCAAAGTTTACCAGCGGTCAGCAGCTTTCTACTCTATCTTCGTCAATTACATCAATGAAATCTTCTGCCATTATCATAGGAAATAATAGTCGCCGTGCTTCAGAGCCTGTCACCACTCTACACTCTACAAGGAAACTAAATATTACCTCAACATCGGTTCCCCTCTCAATTCCGGCCTCTTCTAGTACCAACAATTATAAAACCACTTGCATCTATTGTGTAACTTGCGGCCAGAATAATAACAGAAACAGTAGTAATAATAATACAACAACAATCGTAACCAGTACAGCGAACGGATCTACCACCGGATGCAGGCATTCGTCTTCCCCTATTGTCGTCCATGCTAAAGATTCAACAACCCATCTAAATAGTAAATGCCAAGGGAGCAGTAAATCTCTATTAAACGGCAGTAGCTACGGCAGTAGCAGTAACGACAGTTTATCTAGCAACAGTTCCACGAGTGGTGGTGGTGTTGTTACATCTTCGTCGACTTTGCTTTTTAGCAGTCATCATCATCAGCCGCATCATCTATTGAACTCTCACCATTCACATCATCATGGACATCATTCGCATCACCATCATCATCATCATCACCATCATCATCATCATATAATAAAGAACGCTACCACTACTGCAAATGGTCTTAGTTTAGACCAAGGTATCATTTGTTAGCTGAGGGCCAGCAGGGCGCGAAGGAATGCCAAAAGTTTCTTTCATCGCTTTCTATGTTGCATGTAGTATAAACTGAAACGACGGATTAAAACGAAATATTTTAGTTATTTTTTATGCTGCAGTGGCGGCGGTGGTGGCGGCGGCGGCGGCAGCAGTAGTAGCATCAGTTATGAAGAATTAGTTTAAAAAAAAATAAATCTAAGAATCGCGTCATATTACAAAAAATATATTTTTAGTTGAAAAGGCCTGATCATATGCTCTTCTTTCCTACTTCGTATACGCAATTTCGAGCAAAGTTTTTAAAACATTTACGTTTATATTTTCTGGCTTAATCCGCGACCTTTCTATTGAAATCTTCTTTTTGACATTGGCAGGCGTGCACCAGAAGTTTTAGAAATTGTTTTCATCGAACTTTGTATTGCACGAGTGATCTGTAAAATAAACATTTGCGGAAACCTAACCTCTCTGCATGCATTCAGTCTATGTAAGTAAGCCTGTCAAGTATCCTTAAATTCCGTATCGTTTTTAAAGATTTTTAATAAAAGACGACAAACGAAAGAACGAATAGACAAACCGCATTGGGACAGAGTATTATTACGCTGCCAAATCTAGCGTGTGCATGATCACCGAGGATGTTGAATGGAATAATGAACGAAAGGGCGAAAAGCAAGGAAACTCTTTATTGTAAGGAACGTTGAAGATTCAACAACTTTCAAGGTTGGAAAAAGAAGTCTTCTCCTTCCCGTTCTCTCTCTCTCTCTTACACACACACACACACACACACACACACTTTCTTTCTCTCGCTTTTTTCTTTCTTACTCCATTTCTCGCCTTCTCATTCTCTTTTTACTTTCTTTTTTTTCTTCAATCTTCGTCTCCAGCCCTATCTAGACCAGTCAGTCGTTCATTCGCGTTGTGTGTCATCAAGAACTTTGAACGTAAAATTTTATTATTTTTTCGAGATTGAAGCTTAAACAATATTTCAACGCAATCTCCGTTTTCTTGCATCGATCGAAGTAAGCTCTTTATATGCATATGCATTATGTTAAACTGATAATAAGGAAGGAATAAGAGAGTATTATTTCCATCTACATAAAATAAGTCTCTAATTTTTAAAGGGTTTTAAAGTTATTGAACTAATGCATTGCTCATATGTTATTAAGCTTCAAAGCGAATCCATGTTAGCGGTTAAACAGTTTATAGTAAAATTTCCAATGAAATTAAGTTACTTTTCCTACTGAGAACAAGAACATTTGTTTTGTTTATTATTATATACCTTTTACTTTAGCTGGCTTACTAAAGTAAAATAAAAACCAGTAATTGTTTTTCGAAAGCGGCCACCATCATCGCCATCACTACTAACTGAATTAAATAAAATTATATTTGTTTTATTAGTGATTAGCGTAAATATTAATTTAATACGCCTAACAAACAAAAAAGAAGAAGAAGAAGAAGAAGAAGAAAAAAAACATATTATTGTACAGATTTTTTAATTTTGCTAACTTTCAGTGTCTCTGTTCGTTTCATTCGGCCTGCATTTCTTTTCTTCTTCTTTGACATTACATAACTAATTTATATATTTAAATCGCTTTTCTCTCTTTTTTTCTTTTTTACTTCTTTTAATTCTATTAATTATTATCGATTATTTTCTTCATATAATTTATTTTATATTTAAATTATAAAAATCACTTCTTATAAGAAAACTGCTTACATTTTATTTTATATTTTTTATCCCTACATAATTGAAGTCTATATTTAAAATTGCGTTTCTTTTGTTTTTTTTTTTTTTTATATATATATATATTTTAATTTCCTTTAAAAACTGCAGTTTAGCCGAAATTTATAAACTATAGTTAATGCATAAAATAAATATATTCTCGTTATTGTAATGTAAATTTTCTGTATTTTCTATATTTTTAAAAATAAAATAAAAATACAAAAATGTTTTTCTTCTTTTCTTCTAAATAGCTATTTAAAAAAATGAATTTACACTAAAGGGTAAAATAATATATTGTTTATATATATATTATATATATATATATATATATATATATATATATATATATATAAAATAGTTCATTTAAATGTATCAATAAAAATAAAAAAATAAAAAAAATTATAAAAAAAAAAAAAAAAAAAAAAACAATAATCAGTACATAATTACAACGATACGCAGAGAAGCTATGGAAATGTATTAATAAAATTTTCTGTGTATATAGTTGTTAAAGATAGAAAAATAATTTTAAAAGTTACTTTTAAATTTATTAGTAAGAAATTCGAGGGAAAACGAATTCCAATACCTAGGCACATCCCTGTTCAAATGCATAGTTAATGTAGCTCTATGCAACAAATGTTTGAAAAGAAAAAAAAGCGCAAATACATAAATGAATGAAAAATATAATAATTAAAAAAATGAAAAACAAAATAGTCGTCTTCAAAATCACGCTGAGAATATAAAATGTGTCGCAAAATGAACTCTACTACTATATCAATAATTGAATTTTTTTTTTTTTTTTTTTCAAAAAAATTTTAACACATAATTATCCTTGATTACAATAGTGAATATCATCTACGCGAATGATTGTTGATATGATTCACATCACTTAATGTGCTGAACAGTAAGTTCTGGAAAAAAAAAAAAAAAAACACACACACACACACAGACAACAAACTAATGCATAAAATTTGCCGACATTAATTGAATTGCTCTTCCTTCCGCATGTTAATTGTGGAGGGACGCCTTTGAAATGCTTATGCGAATCCGATATTTCATTTAATCGGCTTGAAACGATTCGATCGCGATTGATGCTACCAAAGCAGTAAAAGGACTGTAATCGAATGCAAGTTTGCATCCAAAATTTGTAAAATTCACAATCGTTGCTACAACACACAACACGCAATTTTCATATTCATTTTAAGATGAACCTTTGATGCCCGGCGCATCAAGTCATTTTCTTACTAGCCGGATATTTTACTTAGTCTTTCGAGATCAGTTGAATGATATTTTTGTTAGATTTTAAATAAATATCTCCTGCAGTCGTTAATCTTGAAACTTCTTCCTCTAATGTGGTTGCAAATCACGGCAACCTTTTACGAAATGTAATTTTTTTTAATTTTTTTTTTTTTTTTATATTGTGTGTCTTATCGTTTGCATTGTATTGCAAAGTGGTAAGCGATCCGTACTGTGACCTAAAAAAATCTACTGTACTCGCTCGTGTCCCAGCTTTAGAATTCTGATGAAACGCGTCATCTTTTTATGTTCGAAGCGCAATGTGCATGAAAGAGGTGCACAAGAAAAGCAGAAACGTTCACTGTATCCACTGTTAGGGATAGATTTCTGATATGTTTGTAACACATGAAATGTGTCAAATGTGGACAGATCGGAGGCAAGTATGCATATTTTTTGTTCTTTTTCAAAAATCGATTGAACGTCTTCTTCGCAATTACCCATATCTATATTTTATTGTTAGGCCGCATCAGTTTTATGATCGTTCTTCCTATAACATCACATTTCGGAGAAATTTTCAAGTATATATATGACTAGGGTGAGACATAGCGCGCTGATAAAAACGCGATACCTTAACATTATCAGGTGAAAAACTATTTCTCGCTTATTACGTATAGTTGTAAGAGTTTATTGTGAAATTTGTTATTTCCCGTGCAAGCAGCTTCGAGCACGTTCAAGAACATTATCTACAATATCCGTATTTCGTCATCTACTTTTTTATTTAACGTGTGTATGCGGTCTTGCGTTTATACATTTACCCATTAGGTGCTACCAAATCAGATGGAAAAGAATTTGGCAGCAGACGTATACGATATATGATCGATGTCTTGAATGTGCAGATCTTCTTTCCATCTTGCTATCGCATAGCATACAAGAGTTAACCAAGCCGGGTGTAATTTCTGTGTTATGGTTCCTTTTAATCAATTCTTTAAAAAAAAAAACCAAAAATAAAGTCGAAATCGCTTATATCACACGATAGCCACATACATTTCGAAAATCACGTGTATATCGAAGAAAGAAGGCGTTTTATTCGGCTGGGGCCGAATCTCGCATACCCATCACCCTTGCATCCTCTTTTTTACTGCCATAAAAAAGTGAATAGGATAAAAAATATCTTTCACCTTTTAGTTTACTAGAAGGTATTGTTGAGAAAAATTATCGATGATATATCTTCATTTAAACATTCTGTCTTGTTGGCCCCGTATGATCGATTAATAAACATGAAACGTCGAAAAACTGAAAAAAAAAAGAAAATTTAATCACTTGTGACTTTGTGTGGGCCTGCTCGCCAAATAGTCGAGCTTTTCGTAAAGTAAATGTCGAGTAACGAGCAAAAACCCACAAATTTTTGGTTAGAGGAACGGAGGTCCTTCACTTTTTGTTTTGCTGCGTACCAATGTTTCTAACAAATTTGATATCTTCGGTTTTGCGATCAGGAGAATGTCAACAATGCACATCACACACTGTACAGACTCATAGACGGACAGACATGGCTTAATCAATTCAGAATTCCATACTGATCAATGCTATATCCTATATAGTATATATATGGAGGTATATCATCATATATATATATGGGTCTCTGAAGTTACCTTTTGGGCGTTACAAACACGACAATACGAGTATACCTCCATTCCACGGTGGTGGGTATAAAAATGTGCTAAAAAACAAATACATATTATACATGTGGGGCAGGCATCCAATAGCACCGACCTCATCAAGTCCATAAAAAAAACGACTCTTATTTCAAGCTTAGGTTGAATGAAAACAATTATGTTAAGTTGTATCCTTTTGCGGGCCACTAACAACAGCGTTATTAACCTTTCTCTGATTCAATTTAAAAGATTCTTTGAAGTGGCGCATACTAGGGGCAGAGATACTGGGAAGTAATGTCAACGTAAGATTCTAACTTAACTAAAACCCATTTTCGTTCAGATTTAAGATTTTAAATATAGGTGAACAAGTTCTATACGCTTCTTCCACTCTTCCGCGACGGCAGATATAGGGGAACGAAAACAATCAGTTAAACTTTTACTTAACATATTCACATTAATAATTGATCACTTGCCTCACTTGCCTCACTTGCCAAATCGATGAACTCCATAACTCCGTACATAAGGTATAAGGGAGGAAAAAGGAAGTTAATCGCTTTGGCATATAAAAGAAAATTATCAATTCAATTTCGTTCTTCGAATAATTTCCTAATTACGGAAAAACTTGATTATAGATTTTAACAAAAATGAATAATAACTGTTCGCTTACTGATATATTGACTGACATTACCGTACCATTATAAATACATTAAATTATGTCTGCTTCGTGAACTATATTTGAGCTCTGGTCTTTTCGAATGCTCATGTTTAATACGAGACAAGAATTTCAGTAAGTCTTCAACCTTTTCCTCTTCCGTTTTTATGACATAGTGATCTACCTACAACACATTTTCTTTTATTGACGGCACTAAATGCATTGTATTTTCGTTAAAGTCATATTTGAATAGTACGAGGTAACGTTTCGATTTTCCTAATTTTATCCAATGCATTTTCAGCTAATTTACTCCAAGCAATATCTATAACTGTTTCTGCTTTCTGTTCTTTAAGAAACAACACACACTAAAATATGGAATTTCTCAGTACTTGCTCCTTGCTGTGACAATTCGAATGCAACCAATTTATGCTTTTTAGACCCTACATCACTTGTGGATAGGGTAGAGCCACCTTTTGTTATACCGATCGATTCAGAATTGTTTCTAAATGTCTCCGTAGCAGGGTTCAGTGTATTAGTTCAGTGGATTATCTAGATATTTATTACGATCTAAATACATTATAGGCTGAAGTTAATTAGATTGGCTTCTGAAAAACATTATTTATTATTCAATGGCTAAAAGCATTTTATTTAGAATTTAGTGGTGTCAACATTATATCTATAGAGATTTGTTTCGAATACATATAGTTAGGAGTCAATTAAGAGCGTTGATGTTAAAATTGAACAAAATTCAGAAAGTCGAGTTAATCGATTTGCCAAGTGAAGCATTCAATGAAGTAACTATCTGTAGCGTGATTCTCTAAAGATAATATGACCTAATGCATGGTGTGTTGCGACGGTATATATATATATATATGTGTCATAAGCTGATATTAAACTATCAATTCCGATGGCTGCGATTAAATTTTATGTAGGAATTCGAACTGTATATGTGTGTGAACATCACCACCATTAACCATCGTCAACTGTGCGATGAAAATGGAAAGTCTGCCTACTATTGGTTGAGACTCCTTTGCACGATCACGATCACGATCACGATCACGATGATGATGATGATGATGGTGATAACTAGTTAATTGCCCCATTGTAAGGGTTAAAAATTCACAAACACAAGATAAAAACTAAAATCTGAAATAAACAAAGAAAGAAAAGATTTCAAAACATTTTCTCAATACGCAACACACCTTACGTAGGTAGCACTTGCAAAGACATGAGGGTGGCATTTATTTGGGACGATGAACAGCGCGAATTGTGTATCCACAATGGATACATATTTTCTGCTAAGGGCTACTAGATATTTGTTTACGCTAATCCAGAATATATATGCAATCACTGCGTTATTGAATTTCATTAAAATATTACACTTGTAAAGTAAAAGTAAAGTAAATGTTTGCTTGACGCATATGGCGGCAATTACAAGCCGGCGTTAATAAAAATTATCTTGTTGTATGGGATAAATAAATCAATCAATTAAATTAAATAAATAAATGAATAAATATTTGCTTCTTTTATGGACATTATTTATATATGAATATTGTTGAAAACTAAGCTTAAAATTATAATTTTGGCCAATCATTTAAGAAGAGCTTAAAAATCGTTTACACAAAATTTACAAGCGCCTGTATAACAGATAATAGTTACGCAATAGAATACAATAATGAATGTAATTATAAAAATGAAAAAAAAAACAAAAAAAAAAAAAAATCTTTTAGATCAATTTTATGATGGACACGTACGAAACTTTGGTAACTTGTTATAATTGTTATATACTCTATACTATTTAATATCCAAATAATATATCCAACATAGACTACATATCAGTTAATCAAATTGCGAAAAAGACAAAATAAAAGAATAAAATGCATACATTATTCAAAGATCCTAATAAGAAAAATCGCATACATAGATAATAAATAACATAAATACTTACTTAATGCGTGCATAAGGTAAAAATATCCGGATAATAATCTTATCATTATCTCAAATAAATATTGAGTCAATTTTGAAACTGATACATACATACATACATACATTACTCGAAAGTGTTCATCTTCACATTTTGTGATCGACATACTTATATATCTATCTATTAATATATATATTTGTATTTACGATGAATTTATTTGTATAGCGTGTCCTTTGTGTACCCGTGCGCCACATATACATGTTAAGAAGGTTTCGAAGGGTTCTTTACATACACTTTGGATGTGTACGATTGATTGTTTGTTACTCTCCTCTATATAGATTATACAAAATCTATTCCAAATGCTAAACGGGAACATAATTACAATGATAATGTTAAAAAAAAAACGAAACACACATATATACACACACACAAACACACACACACACACACATAAAAATACACACTTTATATCTATGACCGGGCTTTGGAGGAAGAAATATTTGAAATGTTATGAAAATGTTAAAAACTAAATAAAAAACAAAAAAAAAAAAAAAACAACGGAATACTTTCTCTCTCTTCAGTAAACGGCAATTTTAGATAGATAAGACTCTATGGCATGGAAATTTATGGTGAGTTTTTGATAATTGCAAGAGTTATGGGGAAAGGAATATGCCTTGGTTGGGAGAAGAGAAACTCAATTCGAATTTCACCTTTAAACGTAATAGTAGCCATTTAGAAAACGTGGAAATGATTAATGGTTAAGACGTTCGGGACTAACCCGAAAGATACACGTTCAATTTCAGGTTCGGTTTCTTACTTACTTACTTCTTACTCCCTACTACGAACGTCTATTATCACATTGTTTTCAACTATATATAAAGCCTATTGTGCAATGAAAAATTTGCACAAAAAACACAAAATTTTTATTATCAACTGTTTATTGTATATATTTTTATACCCATCGCCGAAGGATGAGAGGTATAATTATTTTGTCAAAGCGCTTGCAATCCGTTTGCCCAGAAGGAATCAGCAGGGACTCCACAAAGCATATGCATATTCTTTGATCAGCATCAAGTTCTAAATCGATTTCAGCATGTCGGTATGTCCGTCTGTTCGTCTGCCCGTCTGCCCGTCTGTGTAATATCTATTGTAAAGATTCTCTCGGCCGCATAAATGAAGCTATCGACTTCAAGTCTGGCAGAAACTTTGCAAATTCTTGCTCGCAGATTGGTATTGAAAATGGGCCTAATCGGTTGAAGGACACGTTCACAGCACCACGTAACCTGAGAAACCCACTGTTTTTCAAAAGGAATAAATAATTGGTTTTTTACTCGTTACTCATAAACCATAGCAGATAAATGTACAACAATCTTAACGCTTATTCTATGGACGATGCTGTAGCAGTTGTAATTGACCATGTCTACCCAATATTACAATGTATCAAAATTTAATTTTTTTTCAATATCTTTACAACGCGCAGAAATTAACTTGAAAACCTCCGCAAAGTATATAAATTCCTTGCGAGTTGCAAATTTGGAATGCACTTAAACATGTCCGTCTATTCGTCTGTCCATTCACTTAACTGCGTAACTGTGTAGTATTTGTGGTAAACATTCTACGATTAGCCAAAACACGATGACATCGCCTACAAGTTTGCAAAAGAATTTGGAATTGACTTAAACATTTCCGAAGCACAGTTTGAAGAGGAAAACGTTTCAATCAAACTGTATGCACATAACCAAAAATCTAAAAACGCTGAATCAGTAAGTATTCGAATAGAAATAAATTTGAGAAAACTAATCCACAATTGCGTGAAACAGAATAACAAGGCGCGTAACCGTTTTAATTGCCGAAATAAATTCTTTTACAGCAAATTAACCGGAAGAGAAATCTTGCAAGATATATTAAGTCTCGACAGCTAAGTTCAACTCACAAAGAATAAGTTATAGATAAGCGGATTACTTTTTCTTTTTTTTTCCTTTGTATTTTCAATCAATTACTTTGTTATTACTGCTGTGTCCAGGCGCGACCATAGTTCGCGATAGGTCGGGTAGGTCAAGTAGGTTTTATTGCAAAATATTTCTTAGGCTCGTTATACCAAACTAAAAATTCATTTTTTAATATATTAACAAGAAGAGATAGAAAATCTTCGAGCTTTCTACTATAGAATGAGCTCACTTCCTAACCATTGTTGATTGCAACTTTTAATTGGAGCATCAATCTACCTTCCCCTAACAATTAATTAATTGTTGTAAACAAATTCATTGTTCCTTTATATTCTCTTCAATTTTCTTTTAAATGATTTCTATGCAAATATTGCTAGTAAAAGATATTAACTGGCGTAGGTAGAGTAGGTCTACGCGTATATATATATATTTTTTTCATTATCATTATAAAAATTCTCTACTCTCGTTTCCGAGCCGAGCCTACTTTGCGGGCAGCAAGCTATGCCTGCTGGCTTAGTCTTTGCTTTAGTTCTATTTCTGTTGACTCCAACGCGAGGTCGCTGCATTTATGGTATTATTTGTGATTTTATTTTTGCGATTGAATCGGTAAACTCTGCGGTTTTTCCATCTTAATATGTACATATATCTTTACAGTTCCCATAAATCATTCTTCTTTTTCTTCTTACCACAGATGTCTTACCAATTTTAACGCCTTGTTTGCTCGCTCATTGCATTGTATTAGCTTTACTTTACGACTTGGCTAAGTCTTGATGCATTAAACTAAATAAGAGTATTTTATACTCTCCGCCTCAATGGCATATTAGATTCTCTTGTACAACTGTTCTAAACATTGACATTTCGGATTAAACGCCTACACATTTTCCCCACAATTTTCTATATCAGTGAATATCAAATTTTTAATTGATATAATAGACCCCACCTTGGAAATAGATTATCTCTTCTTGATTAAGGACTGACAAGTCAATGCGGTCAATGCACTTTTTTACCTTGCATATTTTGCTTTTCTTTATTGTAATTTATTGCTTCTGGTATTATATTGCACTAAGCCTAAACATAGCAGTATATGCACTTTTTTTTTTACCACCTAATCAACACCTTTCAACAACACCAAAACACAGTTCACAATCATACATATCATCCTATAAATCAGTCACGATCTGGAAATCTTACTTTGTCTTCAGTACTTCATTTAAATTCTTCCACACATTTATATATATATACATATACCATTATGATAACGGTAATTTTACCTACTGTTCGCGAATCTTTCTCGGAAATTTTTGTGCCTGTTTTGTCATCGTGGATACTGCGCTCTATTAGATATCTATATCATTGCGTCGTAGTGAAGAAGTTTTAACTTTTAGCGGAAAAGTTTCTATTTCTTATGTGAGGAACAGGCAGAGCCAAAAGGGATATTTACAAAACGACTTGTGATGATGTCTTTCATAAGGTGTGTCTTAAAAATTCACAACATTGTCCTCACTGTCAAACCGCTCTGTCCATAGAGAATATTTTCGGACAAATAATCATCTGGAAAGAAACCAAGTTATTATCCAGCCAAAGAGAAATGATGAGACCTTTGACATCAGAACATCAAAAACTATGGAAACACCAAGAAGAAGTTTACGTTTCTCAAGTGATGGTAAGGATAAGAGAAGCAATCTATTTTCATAAGGAGGCCGAGAGACAAGCAGGCCCCAAGCCAAGTTCGTAAGGGCAACAGCAAATAGCAAGAATTGATTTTGAATGGATTCAATTGAATCTATATAACACGTATGGGAGAGATAGTATGAGACTACGCAAGAGATGCATACTCAAGATAGGGACCTTTTTCATTCGAAGTGGTTTGGAGTGGCTATTGGTGTGGCTCCCAATACAAACGAGTGTTTTTGCGTGGCCTTCAGTAAAACGAAGGGGAAAAGCTCAACGTATTTCATTTGCGTTCAGATGCTTGGATGCTCAGACTGCGACTTCAATCAATAACCCAAAGGTAATATTGATCCGGAAAATGTTCTTTGGCTTGCATATTCAAATTATTATCAGCAAAGCACGACGTTGTCTGAGTTTTATTAAAAGATGGTCTGAATACTACCTAAACCATTTTAAGATTATATTATTAATGAGCACAAGCTTGGAATATGTCACGGTATTTTTGCTCCCAGAATTGCAATGGCTACTCAGAGAGGCAGATGTTTCAATCTCTGCAATTCCTGTTGTCGGCATTAAAATGATAACTCAAATGGTATCCAAACGTAAGGCTTGCCTCGTATGAAAACAGCCCAACATTCTAATCTACTTATCTTTTCTTGCGAAGAGTTATGATTTTTTTGGAAAAAGCTTGAAAAAATCGTATTTCCACTCCCAATTAAACGAGATAGATTTCGATACTCTAGTAAGTGCTTCCAAATACTGTGAGCCCGTTAGATTAGTTCAATGTCATACAAATCAAGAACTTTGCTTAATTTTGCTCGGATTATATGCGAAAATTTTAACGATTAACTGCTCGACACCAGACCTCAAGCAGTGATTACCCGACAATATTTATAGCATAAAAAATGATGGTAGTGAACGACATGCATGTACATTGTAAAAATGATACCATTAAAGCAAGAACCTGTACCAAACGCAGTTTCCACCGTCCGTTAAGCCGAAACAAATTAGATTCTCGATCACTCAAACCATCGATGATGCTCGCAAATGGACTTTCTGGGCTGCTTCAAAGCGAAAGCGAATTATGTCCGCCACCTTTATAGCTTTCTTTATTAGATGGAATTTCGTTCCCTATCTATATAAAATGCATGGAAATTCAGCTTACTTTGCAAGATGAAGCGGGCTATTACGATCATTTAATTTGCATCGTCATTTAATTTTCAATTAGCTGTCACATCTAACAGTCTAACCAGCCAAGGTGCGTCTTAGCTTTAGTTGATATAATTAAGTTTAGGAGGCCATTGGTGCTGCAAGAAGCTGCAAGCAAATCTAAACAAAACATTTCATGTTTATATTTTAGTTATGAGTGAATCTTCCTCCACTCTATCATAATCATTTGATTATTTCTATGTAACATTTATACATATATATGCAAGTACGTACTGATATACCAAATATTGGAAGGATTGATTCAGACGAGGCATTAGCTCAGTCAATAAGTACGCGTTAACCAGCATAATTGCATGCTTTTCACGCCAGGTGATTGGTCATATTGCAAACAATCAACCGTTGCCGGCAAACGTTAATTCAATTCATTTATTTTAAATGTAAACCAGAAAATATAATAATGTTTATATGTGTAGCCTTGTGATTGCGTAAGGAAAACAGGTATTGTATGCGTTAATATCGAAATGTTTGATAACACTATTGAAGAATCATTCGCGCGTGCAATAATGTGATGCAAGTTATGCAGGAGATGACACCGACATCTGTCTCCTTACAAAATATTTCCACGTAACTCATTTAAGAGAAGGAAACAATCGGAGAGGCCGCACTAATATATACCAGGAGAACAACTGAAGGTATTTACATATAGAGGAGCAACTGAAGGTATGAAAAGATCTTCAATGTTCTTCGAATTCCGCTTGAAATTCCTACTAAATATTTTATTCCGTCATCATTTTTAATCGAACAATATCATAAGTTAGAAACGGTTCGTATGGTGACGCTATAAAGTTAATTTTTTTTTTCATAATAAAAACAAATTCGTCATTTCTGACAACGTTCGAGCATGTGTTTGTTCAATAAATCTGATTTAATTTAACATGCATGAGTAGAATCTAGTTTAGTTTTGTAGACCAACGACTTCAAATACTTCTTGGACGTAAGTGGACTTAACTCGATAACGTAATTTCTTGAAGTTATTGAATCACTAAACTTATTGCCTAATAAGACAATTATTTAAAGTGCTGCTTCTCATATATTTATTATTTTGTATGTTGTATCTTTGATCAATTGCTTTTAGGGGATGTAAAGACGCTTCGAAGTTTATTGCGTGGATTAACTTCACAGTTAAAACGGCAAATAAAAAGAAGACGTTTCTGATGGAATGCACGGAAAGTTGCAATATGAGGACGATTACTATATTTCGATAAACAATTTAGATGATTTCAAAGCGATGTTGAGGAATTTTATATTTTACGCGCCAATCAAGGCTGTACATCAATGCTGCTGTTAAAGACATTTTACGTTGGTGGAGACGGTTTTTAATGCAAATAAAATCTTGTCATTGAATTCGGCAAAAGATGGCGGCCTTACCGCTTTACCTCCAGCTACACCTAACAACGATTATGAGATGAGCAATAATATCTTTCGACACCATAATGCAATTAACAGTCAAGATACTACAAGTTACAGGTTTTGCATAGTAGATATAAGAGTACAAGAAGAAGCTTTCATAGAATTTGTGTTAAGATTTGAAAATTTTCAAAACATTTCTAATGACCTTTCATTAGTAAGTCTTCTATTTACGTTTCTGTACCAGTTAGTACTCTGTTGAAACTGATAGAGAGATTTACAATAAAATCTATTATTAGATTTACTGAAAAAGCAACACAAGGTGTTGACTGTAATTAATGCAATTTCCATATCGCTTCGACGGTGCAAATTCATAACAGGAAATCGGTTGAACACAAAGCTTATTTATGCTCATTGCCACAGCAAAATCATACGGCTAACGCTTGTTAGATAAACATTAATAGAGTGCAATATAAATAAAGCGACAAATTTTTTATAAGAAAGACTTTTCTGGACATGATAAGAGCGAAAGAACAGATAACAGTGTATACTTTAGTTTAATTTTTCCTCCTTCTTTTTAATAAAGATGCAGCTGACCACTTTAAAAGCATACTATATTTGAAACATGAACCATATGATTTTCTCTTGTTGCCTCTAAATACATCTCTGTTTTGCTTATCAAAAACAACGCACGCAGAAATTTTAAAATTTTGTCAAAAATTCACATTTGACAGCGCAACACAATGTTCGATATATTCGCTTATAATTAAATGCACACAGTTCATTTTATTTTGATAGTTCGTCAGCCTCGCGTCACGCATAAGGTAAGCATTGTTTTTTCAACTTAACTTGAAAGTCATTTGCTTTTGCATTATGTACGACTTTTCACATTCGATATTTATTTCGAAAAAAAAAAGAAAATAAGGGACAATCTTGACAATCAACAAGAAAACCATACAAACAATAAACAATAGCAAAAGTAAATAAGATTTTTAATAAAATGAAATAAAGTGAAATAATAAGCATTTTTAATGAAACAAAAAATAAATGAAAAATTACAAATGGTATGTGGTGGTGACTGGTCGCGCAACCAACTACAACTTTGGCAACCGATGCGATACCATCCACAAATGGACCACAACATCCACAGTGTGACTACAATTACGACATGCAATTTTCGATTTATTTTATAATTATTTCTTATATATATATGCTTGGGAGCCCCCATATAATAGGACAGGATTGATTAGAAGATAATTGGAATGAAAAGCAAAGAAAAAAAAAATTATTTTATATACCCTTGTTTTGGTTCAGCTGTTTATAAGTACACAATTTGGTGTGAAAGTCATTTTGCTGTTTTCCCTTATCGGTGCAGCCTTAAACAACGAATGATAATTCTGCAGAAGCAATACTAACACGAAACGCAAACTATTTAGCTTTCACGTTGTTGTTTGTCGCAGCTACCGCGCAATCGCAAAGCAAAGAAACCCAAAACTTGAAGATGAAACATAGCTGTCGCCATATATAGTTAATAACCTAGAAGTTTGGGCATTTCTTGAATATCGGATGGAAATTTATATGCAGGGTTTCAAAAAGCTACTAGCGAATTACATCCTAATTATGATGTAATAGTAAACTAAGAAAAATCCCTATTTAACCCATCGCGATCAAGTTTGGGTCACACGTTTATTACATTCATTTTGTTGTTGTTGTTGTTGCTGCTGCTTGTGGTAATAATAAAAATGCTCATTAGAAATGGTCATTTTTACTTTTTGTTACAACACGCAATTGCCTAATATATATATAAAGTATAGGTAAGTGTGGTTTTTGAAGCTTGTTTCTGCGCCTTCTGAAGGTGTTGAAGTTTAAGAAAGATTCAATTTTGATATGCTATAATATTGATTAAGTGTGGTCAATGTTTATCATTTTTTTACAGTTGCGATAGCATCGCCCATAGAATATGCTTTCAAATTGTCGTAGATTTAACTGCTACAGTTTATGAGTAATGAGCAAAAACAAACAGTTTTTTAATCCTTTTGAAAAACAGAGATGTTCTCAGTTTTCGACGGACAGACGGACACGCTCAAATCGTTTTAGAATACATACACCTTGAATCAGTTCCCATGATCGATATTTATGTGTTGATGCGAAACGAATGTTAAAATTAACTTTAAACAAGCCATCTATCCATATCGCTTTTGAAGTTTTGAAAACATTTTCTCCGCGTTCGCTATGCCGTTTCTCACCCCACTCCCATAGGAATAGGGAACGTTCTCGAATGCTTAGTTATCGAGGAAATATCTTAAGTAAACAATACATAATATATCTCCGATGATATCTGCTGATGGTAGGATGGTGATTAAGAGCATCCAAGCGCAAAATGTTGCATTCATTTAAACACTGCAGGATGTGGACGGCATTCGAAGCAATCAATATTTTGAAAAGTTACAAACTACACCATGCGAGCCATTAGTAATAAAGCTTTTCAACTTCTTATCGTTTTTATTAATCTTCAATTTCATTTATTTCGAATGTTGACAAATTGTAAAATTTTTGAAATGTTTTTTTTATTTTTTTTTAGTCATTTTGTCATTCCACGTTCATTTCTTCTTCAATGTACGTATATATTCGTATAATAAATATCGTTTAAATATATGTATTTCAAGTTTTATTTCGTTTTTCATAAGCTTTTAATTATAAAATAAATATATTTTAATACATAGTAAACACACTCAAATATTTTATTTTAAATTTCTGTTGTTGTTTTTTTTTTTTTTTTTTAGCTAATTAAATAGAATTTTATTTTATAAAAAATTTGCCAAAAAGAAACTTGTCAAGTAAATGATTTTATTATAATATATTTAATAAGAATAAAAAAATGAATCTCTATATATATCTAACCAATCAGGTAACAAATATAATATAAATATATTATTTATTAATAGGAGGAAGAGAGCAGCTTTAAAGAATAGCGGAAACCAAGGTAAAAGGAGCATGGCCAATAGAGAGGACGACGGGAAGTGAGAAATAAATATTAAAGATGGCGGCAAAGATAGACAAAGAAAGACGTCAGCGGAAGAAGACCAAGAATATGAAGTTGAAGAGATTGTAGGGCATAAAATGGTTCGTGGCGTTTTCCATTTTCTTATGCGTTGGAAAGGTTATAGTAAAGACGATGACACCTGGGAGCCAGAGTACGCATTAAATTGCCCGATTATTCTAGAAAAGTATAAAAGAAAATATCGACTAAATTTGACTAAGCATCGTCAAGCACCTTTAAAAAAGCCGAAATTAATCGCTCAAACCTTTCAGTCAAATCTAAAAAAGATCAGAATGCAAATCGAACAGTCGATAAAATTATAGATTATACTGAGGCGAGAAGTGGTCGTATATTTCGTGTACGCTGGAAAGGCCTTGCTGCTAAAGATGATACTTGGGAATCGGAAAATGATCTTACTTGTGCCTATGCCATACAAAAGTTTATGAAACGCATAAAGTCGCAAGAAAAAGACCTGAACGAAAAACCCACAAAAAGGAACAAGCTTCATATGGATGATTGAACGTTTCCCTGAAGATGGTTTAATCTACGAATAATATTTTCAAATTCTTTATATATTTTCAAGCTCTTTGTCTCTTAAAGTTTTCGTGAAAATATTTTAATAATATTACCTACAATTGCAGACATATGCAAAACAGCTAAAATTAAATTTTTCTTTTCTTTTCTTTTCTTTGCATATCCATAGTTATTAAACTAACGAAGAAATCGTTTCTATAATATATTGCTTAAGCTTAGATTTTTGAGTTTAAGAATTCTATGACAAGATAGCAAAGTATTTCATTGTATTTAATTATGAATAGAAAAGGAGGAGATGTTTCATAATTTTTTCATTCATTTTTTTAGTTTACTTGTAAATTATTTACTACGATAAGAAAATGAAAGTGAAATTTCATAATTAAAGCATATTTCATTAAACCTATTAAAATCATAATCAGACTTTAGAAATCGTGACGAAAAATTTTTTTAGAATCAGTTCAAGTCTTAGTTTATAAAGCTTGGGTAATGATTTCTCCTGAAGGGGGCTTTGCTCGCTCCCTCTCTCTTTTACAATTATTGTCAACATCCAGCTGAGGCAGCGTCTAACAGAATGCCATAAATCTTATCTCTTCTCTTCGGTTTCATTTTATTTCAATTAATTTCAAACAGCTACACTCTTCTCTTTCACAATTAATAATGAAAAAATCTCAATCAAAATTGTAGCAATATGAAAAATGTAGGAGTCAAGAATGCAAAAAAAATAGAAATATAGAAGGGTGAAAATTTGAATTGAAATTATGAAGAAAAATATTTGAAAATAAAAACTTCTTCTTCCTCTTTGTAGGACAAACGAAAACAAAGTGCCGGTGTCTGCAAAAAAAGCAGATATTTTGATTCATCGATTTCGCTAACGACACTTTACAAATTCAAAAGACTTTTGATTTGTTCCAACTACTGGAATGCAAGGACAGCCTAGTCACCGAGAAAAACCTGAAGCGTAAACCTTTTCACAAGGCAATCAAACAAATAGAATCCGCCATAAGCGGGAAGGGCACATTCCCTATGACCTTATGCGTTTGGCCTTGTAAACCTTAGCACCTTGCGCCTTCAAATTACAACAAATACTTTTACAGCCGGGCAAGATGAATCTGATCAAACACCAATCAAGGGACAGGAAAATACAACAAGTAATGATGAAGAAAAAGTTTATAAATGAGAGTAAACATGAAGATTCTGCAACAATTAAAAAACAGTACATTGTGACTCGGCCCGCCATTGAATACCCTATACCACTTCTCAAAATAAGGTGTTATAAACGAAGTGATCAAAAAAGTGATCTGATCCGAGTTAACGTAAAATATAAAGAGATTGTTTGGGCTTGAAGCGAGCTGACGACATCGATCGCTGTTTAGAAGTCCTTAAATGTTGTAGAAAACTTATATCGAATCAATCACCGCTGATTGCACAATCCGAAATGTGTCGACACATTCAAAATGACGGCAGCTAACAGATGAACAACGAAAGATATCAACGCTAAACGCCAGATTACTCTAAAAAAATTTTCAATGTTGGACCAACCAACCTTTTGAAAGGAACTTTGCAAGCACGGCCAAATTTATAAAGAGACTATTAAATATAATATTAATGAGAAGAACGATCATGGCGGAACAGATCCGTAAATAGCTGCTTACAGAGAGCAGAAAGGTGACAGCGTTTTTGAAATCGCGCAACAAATCTAAAATAACTGAGAATTTCCATAATTCACATTGCTATTATACTTATCATTACCTTTTATTTATGTAATATTATATAGTCTACATTATTATTATTCTTTGTGGTATTTATTCAAAAACTAAAATTGAACGACCAAAGCTATTTACCTAACTTGAGGTCATTTTAACCCTTACTTTCTTAATCGGCCAAGGAATGTTTATGTCAAATTTCAGCATTGTTTCTTTATTTTTGCAATTGAGACAATTCCACCAATAAGGGAGATCTAAACGAGCCCTTTTTTGGAAGAAATCTGCATTTGCAAAACATCGGTAATTTTAATATTAAAAAAACGCAATAACTGTAGTAATAATATTTTAGAAAACGTAACAGAGTGACAACACTAAAGGCCGATTTGACGGCATTGTTGTTGCTTTATTGACTGAAACACTCTTTAGGTAATGCTGAAATATATCACGAATACGCAGCCAACGAGCCGCATTACTGGCATTTTGAGCAACCCAATGTAATTTGACGAGTGAGATCGTCCTGCCTTAATTCTGTTGTGCTCATGCAAATATTCAAAGCCACTAGACGAACTGTATCGTGTAGAGAGATCATAGATGTGCCTATTTCTCACATCCTCGTTGTTCCCGTCGAGCGGTTGGCACGAAGAAAAGTTACCTTCTTCGTCAATCTAATCGGTGGGAAGACTTTCCGATGTTGGCCGACTAACGAGACAGACTTACAGGTTCTTGGAGGCTGGCTTCCCCCTTGAACCCTTTTAAGTTGCCTCGAAATACAAAGAAAAAAAAGAATAATTAACAAACAAGATCTTCGTCCTCTGGCGAAGATCCCTATCTTCTACCTTCCCTTTCATCTTCTCCTCAATCTAACCTTACTTCGAGGGGTTCTGATAACACTTACATTCACCAAACACTACAAAATTGCCAATATAATATAATAGCAGATGACGAGCAGCCTAACTGCTCGCACCAAAGTAGTGAAATCCGCTCCCAAACAGAAAACATAGATATCCTCCCTCCAAGCTTGCTAAACCAAAATTTCGAAACCCTCATTGCAATAATACGAATCAGAATTCCTCTCGATTTCCTGAGAATTAAAACCTTAAGCACGTTTTCCTTGAATGCGCATTTCCTAAGTTTGCCGCACTAGACTCGGATAAATTAAATTTTTCCAATTTTATGACTAAAAAAAAAAACGATTTAAAAAAATTAAAACTATTTAGATAATTTTAAGGGACTTAAATGGATGCGCAAAGTAGAGAACCTACAGGAGCCGACAACGCCCGTAAAAAGCACTTGAAAACTTGTTAATAAAAAATCGAATGACAAATTTAACACGTTAAGGACGGCGTGTACCACGGGTGGCTCACAAGCGGATGCTTATGCGAAATAAGAAAAACTGCGCCGTCCTTAACGTGTTAAGTAAAGACATCGCGTTTCAATCAAAATGCCGCATGAGTTTTTAATACTGTCGTTGGCGAAAACCAACAACCAACTTCAGCCTATAAATCAAGTACAAGAAATAACTGAACAAAAGTTTCATAACTAATACGTATACAATTAAAAGAGAAGAATGCATGACTTCAAAAATTGCGAAAAGAAATTCAGCAGCCAACAAGTTCAATAAAATTGAAAAAAGAATAAATAAAATAGACAACAAAAATACCTATAGTAAGTAAAAAGAAGAAAAGTTTTGGAGCTACTTAAAATATACATCCTAAAGTCAAAGACCTTCTGCCAAGCAGGTCCGACGAACCACGGAAAAAAGGCTGTTCCATGTGTAAATCGTACGCAAAAAAAAAAAGCATTCTCTCTAAAACACTTTGGCCGTGCAAAGCCGCCATTAAATGCTCCTCAACGGCCGCTTCTGCGGGATGAAAAATTGAAATTGGCGAATAAAACAATTCAATTTAAATGTCATCATAAATCATCGGCATAAATGAGTTTATGACAACATTTAGCTGGCATGATATGATTAAAAAGCATATAATTGGCAACGGAAACCTTCGAGAAAATCTATCGATGTAAAAGAAGCGAATATACGATGTACAAGAGAGGAAGGAGGAGAAAGTTTGCAAATTGATTAAATTTTCGAAATGTCATCTCAAAGAGAAAAATTTAAAATATATCGTTCCATAGAATAATAGTAAATACGTGGTCATGTCAGATGTGCATTAAGCGGAGTCGATCGATTCTATTTAATGTTCATTGACGATAGGATAGGTTTGCCTTTTTTTGGTTTTTTTCTTGCTAGAGGAAATAGTCAGCCAGAAAGGTATTGAGTACAAAAAAGTGGAACTGGCAAACCAACCGAGACATGAGAACTTAGTGTTGCATTGCACTCTTCAATAAAAGCGAATATTAGAAAGAAAAGAAATATAACTTCGTATGGGTTTTCTAACGAGTGCCGTCACATTCCTTTAGCTTTTAATTCAATTCATTTTTGATTAAAATCGCACTATTTTTACTGCATAAATAGAAATTCTTTTCAAAAGTAATTCTGTTTTTTAAGTAAACTAAAAATCTGGTGAACAGCATGATTTCGTAGTCGATACTAATTTAGGACGGCATGACGAAGACTAAATTTGTATGTAATGTAAGTCGCAGAGTGTCTGTGATAGGCATTTCGATGCACGATGGAACGAACAAATGAGTATATCTCCCGATTATGGATACAAAACTTACTTAAAAAATATATATATATACAGTTTTCTATATGTGAATCCTTGAGTGTTTTATAACTAACTATAACTTAAGTGTTTTATTTATAACTAACATATAAAATAAGTTTGTTTAAAAATATTTCAATATGGTGTACATATGAAAATGTAAAATCCAGGATTTTAGAAAACTCTCAAGTTGGAGTTCAATTAAAACTCTGAGAACAAGACGTAAAGAGAGGTAGAAATAGTAAAGCAACCTTCCAAAATACTTTAAACGCTCAAGAGGCTTTTTCAAATTTTTAAAAGGATTTCTTAAAGCATCTGATAAATCTTCTGCGTACAGGTAAAAAAAAAAAAAAGACTAGTTTTTTTGAAGACTTGTTGTTATAAAATGTTACAAAAAATGAGTTTTAAAATTTATAAAATCCTGAACACTTGTATAAAATTTTTCAAATACTGTAGTAGTTTGCTTATAATAATAAAATATAGAAAAAGTATATATAGATTAAAGCTCAAGCAACTGACAAGATTGTGTTGGAACTCAACGCTTTATGATTGTTTTAAAAAATTAGAAAAAAAAAAAAAAAAAAAAAACTATTACTATACTATCGGTTGATTAATTAATAATGTTTGACTACAGATTTAAAAAAGACACATAAAAGCTTTTTCAGGTTAACTAAACTACACACGTTTCAAATAAATTCTAAGAAAAAAATATCACGTAAACATAAACTTATTCACTCTTTTACTCTATACCAAATGTGTTGGTTTCTTCCACGGCCAGCAATAATTTTTCGTATAACAATTCGGGTGTCGGATAGGGCGGCAAGTCTAAGCGATTAAAGCAAGTGTGAGCGCGTGGTAAAGCGTTTGGCTTACCCCATTTCTCAACGCAAAAACGTCGCGGCCCAGTGGAGCCTCGAAGAGCTGAAAAGCCTTCATATGGTATACTGGAAGTACCAGTGACGAATTGCAGTAAACGTAGCCTTTGCTCGTTGGTGAACTTTTCAATAACCTGCCAGAACCATATGATAACCTGATGATTATCGTGATAACCAGAACGATATTCTGTATTCAATCGCCAATCGTTTATGTCGATTTCGGCGGTACCCGCTATAACTAGTTCAAGTTCCCGGGCGTCAAAGACCGCTACTAAACGTGAATCGACGACTTCATAGAAGCCACGCACTAAAGATTCCGTTTGTTCTTGTACGCCGCGTTCCAACCGCCACTTAATCATCCGATCTAAATATTCTCTTTTATTCTTTTCATTGACTGTGATATTTTTGCCACCCGCTTTCAGTTCACGTTCTACTACACGACCAAGCAACTCTTCGGTGACACAAAATGTTAGGCCCAAGTCTACGCCTGTGTTTATGTCGTTATCACGTATCCACTGCAGCGACTGATGAAATTCATTATCCAGTGACTCTAAATCGCTAAGAGCTACTGGCAATCTTAACAAAGCCTTGTAAAAAGGGCGAGTAAAAAATGCATCCAACAGATACTGGTGTACTAGAGCTAAGCCCAATACGCGGCCACTAAATCGGAACCAATCGTGGCAGTTATCAACAAAGGCGGACAAAGGTGACACCTGTACTGTGTAAGTATCGTTGGCCGAATACTCGAAGAGACCATAGTAAGGATTAAAAAGTTCCCGTGAAAGCAAAAAGAAAAATTCTCTGCATAAAAACATGCAGGGGGGGAAAGAAGGTAAAATGATTTTTGAAATTAATCTTCGTTCGCAAAATACCTGGATGGTCCTCCATAATCCAAGCCCTCTTCAGAGTCCCATAAAACAGCTAAACGGCCACGCTGCAAATCTTTCTTGTTGGCTGACATAATGCGACGGAACGCATCTTCCAATAGATGAGTGCGACGTATTTGTAATCTGAAGCAATTAAAAATGTTGCAAAGATTGCAAGACCAATAATAACACAATCGTATAAACCATTGCACATACTTTAACTTATGTGGTCCCTGGCCGTAACCTTTCGATTCCAGTTTTCTGTAGAAACTGCGTAGTTTAGCTTCAAAATCACGACGAAAAGGGGGCGGTGCCCGTTGAGGCATTCGTGAATTCAGCACAGGTGAACCCTGAGGACTACGTTCTTCAATAGGAACATAGCTCATGATCTCTTGCTCGAAGAGGCTGCAAAAACAAAAATTAAAAAAGAAAAAAAAAATAATTTAAAAAGTATGGACGAATGTATCAAATGATGAATGAACTAATGATGACATGACACAGTTATGATATCATATTAAGTTGAATTATAATTCAATGCAAATATCGCTTAAGTCATATGTCTCGCTTTATGCGTACAAGTGCACGAACGAATAAAACTATTAGAGAAATAGGTCAATAAACATAAGAACAGAGCCATTGTTGAATGCTATTAATTGAAAGCATTTTTTCCCCTTTTCTTTTTCACTATTTAAGGTGAATAAATACGATTAGTTCGTTACAGTGCTTGTAACGTAAATCAACACACAGACAGACATGGGGCTAGCTGACTTTCACGAATGAAGCACAGGTATCAAAGTGCACCCGGTTCGCCATTTCTTCGTTGGAACTTTCAACTTCACTCAAATTCACTCCGATTCAAACACAACTAGGTAGGCAGACATGTCCATAGATCATTTGGACGAACGAGCTACAGGTACAAATAGGTAGGCTATATTCCTCTTCCTGCCACATTTCAAAGAATTTTTTTTTTAATTTATTTTTTGTTATGATACATAACATTTATCACATACAATGCTGTGCATAATATAATTTTAACAAATACATATGAAAATTTTTCTTTTTCGACGAATATTTGGTTATTACGGATATGTTCGCTAACGCGGAATTTAATCCGTTGAAAGATGTGTATGCTTGACAGGGTCTCTAAGACATATTTGTACTCCATAGCATTCGTGATAATAAGTGTAGTCGGAAGGGTTTACGATAGATTGTCCACCTTTATCACATCAATTAATCGGCGTAGGTACATCTACTCTCCGTCTATGTATAGGGATCGAACTTTTTAAAATACTTTGATATTTAGTGCAGCCATGATGTCTTTCGGCCCAAAGACAATCGCTATTGAAATTCGGTTGGATCGAATCATTTTTGCGATCATTTTTCATATAAAGACTTGTTTTGGGAAATTCGTTATATGAAAAAAACGTTGCATTTTTACATTCCTCGACCATAAAATCGATGATGAAATACTGTTGTATTTCAACTATTCTAAGTGAAAATTAGTGAAGTTTAAACGAGATAGGACCATTCACTGAACGGCGCCTCCCATGTAAACTCTCCGACTAAAAGTCAGCATTTATACGGTGACAAGATTTCAATTTTTGATATTTAGAAATCGTTCCACTAACAGTTTCTAGCTTTACGTTTAGCTTGAAGCATCAATTTGAGATTGTTTTTAAGTTTTTAACGCTATTTACGACATATTTATTTACCTAATTTATCATTTTTTTAATCGCACATACAGTGCGAAATTGTTATTGCATATATGTCAAGCGTTGATAATGACTGAAATAACCGTTTCGATAAGCGATCATTGGAATAATACATTCAAAATAGCGCACGCACTTTGCGTGTCCATGACTAATGGAAATGTTGCGGTTGTACACGATATTAAGCATATTGAACGCAAGGACTGGACATTTGTGGCGACTGTTTCATGTTAAATCCATAGGGCATATCTAAGTTATTGAATCCCAAAAAGGGCCTAACATGTCCCATATTCTATAAAAAAGGCACAAAAGCCCTTGAGAGTAACGTTAGCCAGATGACTAGGATGTCAGTATGTATGATATGATGTATGATTTGTTGCAAAGTTCTGTAAGTTCATATGAAAACATCTCTAAAAACTCTCTAGAATAACTTATCTAAAAATATGATTAATTTTTCTAAATTACTTTTAATTCTTAACTAAAACGAACTTTATGCAAAAGATGGAAGAAATTATTCTCACTCTCTCTCGTTTGTTTCTTTTTTTATTTATTTATTTATTTTTTTTTTTTTTTTTTGGTGTTTTTGATGCAAATAAACTTTGGAATACAAAATTAGTGATGTTATTATTTTGTAATTACTTTATACCACCTTGAACTCGTTTACTTAATGACCCATTAATAACGTAAGTCCTAAAGAAATATTCAAGTTAAACAATAAGCTATATGTTAGAATATCGACGATCACACATCATTAGATCAACAACTTTATTAATTCATGTTTTCTTTTCTTTAGCACACACGATATTCGTTCCATAAGAAAGAATAGCTTTATAATCGAAAAAGCTTCGTTCTCTTTGAAGCAAATCTTTCTAGGCAAGTGTATGAGCATAAAGAGCATAAAAATTATTTTTATTTTCCCTGAGGCGGTACGTGACCGTAAGTTTTTGCGGATGCTTGCAATGCCCAAAAAGGTTCGAAATAACCTCCACATCATCATTTTCTGACCCAATTTAAGCACATCTCTTCGTTTGCTTTTCTGATTGCGGCGCATACACCTTTGCGCTCATTTCTCCTATAACTGTGCGATTTTTAATACTTCTACATAAAATTTGCTCGAAAAAAAAATACGTTAAAATATATATTTCGAAAAATGGCAACACCGCAATTTATAGGTCTTTGCAGCGCACAGCGGTTTGAAAAAAAGCAAAAAAGAAAAATGAAATGGAGCGGCTTTATAATCGGGCAAGGCCGCCAGCAGATACCTAGCTACCCTACCTGCTTCATCAGCACCATTTTCATTCGACTCTTGGAGGCTGTCCGTTAATTTCTTGTGCGAATCTGTAGTGTAATCAAAAAACACATCATCACGACTTTCGTTGTCGAATTGTGAACGATGAACCTCTTGCCGCCAAATAATCTTGCCGTCCAATAATGTATTGCGCGCACTAGTGGGCACATACGTTGTTTCCCCGCAAAATAAAATTTACATTTTCATGGGAATTGAAAGCATGCTCTATGAAGCTATATTACGCAACGATGAAACGGTTTCACCCTCCTTTCAACTTTTACTATGAGGCCTTTCGGAAGAGTGTTGCTCCCAATCGCTCATAAATTTCAATGGATTTGTGATGTGGCGAGAAAAGGCCTGAGAAACTTTGCTGTTTAACTTTAAAAATGTTAACGCGTCGAAAAGATGCATAATCTTAAGTGTTGTTTAAGCGTTTTCTTTTGCTCGATCCCAATTTGAATACATCCATTACAAGCCTATCTTTTCAATGACGTAGGGTATTATATCGCCGACATCGTAGGTGTGGCGGAAAGTTTAAAACTCACATCGTCCTTTTGGAGCTTGTAAATGTTTTTTGGAAATTCGAAGCTGATGGGTAATCAATAGAGAGAAGAGTTCAAAGCTGCACTTGTTACGCTCTGCTCCATAAAAAATGCACAAATTGGGGCTATTTCATTTCATTCGCGAGACCCGGTTGCCAAGATGTGCAAATTCATCAATCACCCGATCATTTGATCGATGGTAAGTTAAGTTTCTACGGACATCGATTACGATCCACTGGACCACAAATATGCCGAAAATCAAAAAGGCTTTCTGCAGAAGAGGGCAAAATGGGCAACTAGGAGCACAAAGCTCGTGCTTGAAAAAGTAATTGACAAATTGATCAATTATGATATGATAGCACCAAAGGGCATCAAAGATAAAATGGTGTAAGAATTGAGTATAGATTTGAAAGCTATTGCACACAAACTCTTCTCCACTCCTCGTAGAAGAGTCTCTTAAGTTTTGTCGCTTAAAACACTTTCACGCATTGGAAAAAACCCATTGGCCATTGTACGAGCAACTAACCTATACAAAGTGTATAAAGTATTAATATCTTCGAGTACACACACCATCAGGAGTAAGTTGTTTATAAAATTAAACGAAAGCTCCTTAATTTGATCTATGATATATTTTTTCGAATACAGAAATTAGATGCTTTCGTTTCTATACTTTTGTCTTTTTTTTTTTTTTTTTGCTCATTAAAAAACAAAAATCAAAGCTTTGTTTTATTATAAATTCTAAGATTTCATTAAACAAATTTTATGCAGTAATTATGAGAAGTGCCAATAGCTTGAGTTAACATTTCCGTGGTAACAAATGAACAATTGTATATTGTTTCCATCCACAAGCGTTCGTGTAATGGGAGCGGCACATGTATGAAAAAGGCTCAGGACCGGAACTGATTTGGTCTAAATGTATGAAAATGAATCGTGCAGTTAATGGGTTTTATTATTACTGCCCCACCTATTTCCCCCTTAAAGTACTAAAAATTAGATTTTCTTGTCACACAAGGGCTTATTTTTCGAGAGTACCCTGCTATAAGGTGACCCCACCGACTAATAAAACTTACTTACAATCCAAATATGACGCGATTAGTTCCTATGTGAAATTACTATTATGGAGAAATACATTTCACTTTCAGGGCCGTACTTTTTTTCATCAAACCTCTTTTACTCGGCCGGGTGCAAAAAAATAAATGTGCATTAATTCAATTTTGTTAAAGTTGATTTTTGTGTCGCGCTACTACTACGTACCAATTTGCATTCTAAAATCTTAATAATTGGACCGTTTTTTCATATAAAGGCTTACATTTCGTAGAAATGGTTATTATATAAGAGCGGTTTCAGGACGTCGGCCGATCCGAATCAAATTTTCCATATCAATTTTTTTACGATTTTGGTTTCGTATAATGATGTTTTCAAAATAGATGGTTAGTGGTCGTGAAAATTATCGGATCCAAAACACTTTTAATAGGAAAAGTCGTCTCTATGCCAAGACTTTTACTAAAATGCCACGATGCGCGATGAGACAACCAGACGGCTATTTTAAAAATATTGATAATGGTATGATTAGTATTTATTTGTATTTGAATGAAGAACTTGACAAAAACTTGATTCAAAACAAAATAATGCAATGCGAAACCCAGGAGCTGTTTGCTTATAATTTTGCTGAATAGCTTCTCCATGCACGCATAACATTCAAATAATGTTCGTCTTTAAGAGTTGGGCTCGACGGAAGGCACTCATCATGAACCTAATAAGCCTATCTTTTATTACTTTGTGATTGCAGTGGTATGACGTTCCCAAGGTCATTGCAATCGCATAAAAATATGTCTGCGTAGAGCATACCCTTCTCGGTCGTTTAAC